TTGAAATGATTTTGATTACTTATAAAAACATATGAATTCCTTTGACGTGATGGTTATTACAAATAACATTTACATAATTATCATTTTTCTCAACTTGTATCCCCCCCCCCCCAAAAGCATTTAAAAACATTTAAAAGATTGATTACAGGGGTATGAACTCACCTTATGTGGGTGATTCAGTTGCAGATTCGTGTAAGAATGAGAAGCTCCACGAATGAATTCTTGAGACACAAACGAGTCCTAAATGACATATAATTGCATATATATAGGCATGTAATTAGTGTTTTAAACAACTACCATGCAAGGAAACACCCTCATGGACTAGGAAACACTTACTAGAAAGTGTTACAATCACATGTGATTAACTAAAGAGGGTTTATGGCCACACAAGGGAGTGTACGGCCAAGGAGTGTACGGTTAAGGAGTGAACGGTCGTATACTCAAGGAAAAACATGCAATTGAGGTGTTTATGACCCTATCTAGCATCCATTAAGTATTCACGATCCTATGTTTGGGACACGAGATGAGTTTGCAGCCAAATCATGCACCAAACAAGGGTTTACGGCCATGCAAAGGTGTACGGTTGTAAACTCTTGTTGTTCATGCTAAATTGGTTGATTCTAGGGTGTTAAACAAGAGCTTCTAATGAATACTAAGTGTATGGAAAGGATACTTACGATTTGGAAGCTTGAAGAGGGTTCACGACCCAAAAACTACTATGTGTTCTTGGTGAAATGGATGAAGGTTTTAAGATCTATCATAAAGAGATGTTTTTATGGATGAATCATAAGATGTTACAAAACTAAGGAGGATATCAAGAAAGATGGAAGAATCACTTACCACTTTTGAAGATTAGAAGGAGTGTTATTGATGATAGTTGAAAGAGAATGGAAGTTCTTGAGGTGAAAGTTTAAGAAATGAAGAAAATGAAGGGATATGATACATATGGGGATGAGTTCACGGCCATATTGAGTGTACGATCGTACACTCATGTGTGCGGCCGTACACTCCTCTTGATGGAGTGCTTGACTTGAATGTAACATGAAGAACCTAAGTTAACTCGTCCCTAAACCCTAAACTTGAATGTACTAGGCTTAGAACACTCAAACAGACCCTAAAAATTCTAAAAGATAGCATAAACAAGTCTGACCCTCGATTGATTGGCTGAACTTACAATCAAATTTTTTTGTGTAGTTACTTAAATGACCTTACAATTATTTAAACGATTAGACACCCCTTTATAATACTATTTTTTAATAGATTTAATGATATTGTACTAAGCTAATGTCGAAAGTACTCAACACTCGTCTTATAACGGCCGCCTCATCAATCCATTTCTAATGATATATATGTATATATATATATATATATATATATATATATATATATATATATATGTATGTATACATACATATGATGTATACTTTATTTTAATATATAAATATGTTATTATAAACTATAACTCGTTCATAAAAACTCCGTTTTTGACATTCTTTATATCCATATGTAGCTATCGACAATTTTCGTTTAGACTCCGTCCACTAATTTTGACTTTGTTTTTTTGTCCATATTTTTATAAAATTAAATGATTTTGTTAAAAGTCAACCATTCTCTTCGTAGCTTTTAACGTCATACATTCATTATGCGAGGTTGATTTTTATATCTTATAAAAATTATATCTAATTCATACAAAGTTGGATTTCTACAAAATTTATATTTATGGGATCGGGAAGACGTGTACATTCTGAATATATAATAATATATATGTTTTGGCGCAGTTATTGTTATGATTTACGAACAATTCGCCTGATTTTTCGTATTCAATTATATTATAATAATCATAAAACACATAATATTCATATAATTCTTCTTTGTTATGTCAAATAGGTTACAATTCTTGACCCTAATTATTACTTTGGTTAAGATTATTTATCCTAGATAATCTTCTATAAAAAAATCATTTTTAACATTTCTTATATCTTAATTGACTAGTCCGAATCTGTGGGTGTTACACCATGTCACAAAATAACCTATAACTTCTTTTTAAACGAATATTTGGGTAAATCTATAAGGTAATTGAAAACGTAAGGGTTTTTCTACATATATATAAATAAAATGTAAATGTTTTTTTTAATGTTAGTAGATTAGTTGTGTTTTTCTGCATTTTGACCTTTAAAATATAAGTGTTGATTAAATTACTTGAATGATCATAAATTAAACAAAAATAATAAGAATTGTACCATGTTTGTATGAGATTTTTGATATGTTAGAAGTGTCAAAATG